TTATTATTATGTGGAGAGACTGTATCACTGAATGGAACTGGAAACTCACGTTTTCATTTAATATTCAGAAGACTTATTTGTGCCCGAACCACAAACAAATAAACACTATTTATAAATCGCCCTGGCCTTCAACAAACAAGTAGGCAAATAAATTAATAAAAAGCCAAGTTTTGTTTAAGTAGTGGGCTTTGTTTTGTCTTCTAGACACTGCTCTGTCTTCTTGTTTTGAAGCAGAAGCCACACAGCTTTTCAGGCAAAAGGTTGTGGTCAAAACGTTGATACTTTTACTGAGTTTATTTGAAAAAAAAAAGATGAAAGCGGAATTTATTTGTTTAAAACATATATTTTATATACACGATATTCTTGTTTAAAAAGCCACTGACACCATGGTGGAACAAAGCTGACCAGTAGGCTACAACTGGAGCTCCATCGCTTACGTCATAACGCGAGTATGTGTGTATTGTGTGTGTGTTTGTGTGTGTGTGTGGTTCAGAGTGAGAACGAGTAAAAAGGAGGAAGAAAGGCAAAACGTCACGCCTTTTTATTAAAGCCCGAGAATCAGAAACATTTTTACTACAACTTAAAAACAGTGGTCTCTCTATCCGGCGCGTGGACGCACGGCTCGAGGACCAAATAAATAATTAAAACAGCCTAAATTGTTGGATGTTCCCGCTCGCGGGTCGGGAATCACGCGCCATCGAATCAAAGGGGGGGTTACTGTGCATGCGCTTTAGGCTCTGCGCCGCATGCACGCGCCCCCCTCACACACACACACACACACACAGGGAGCAGGACAGGTCGGTCGATGCGAGGCGAGCACACACACACACGGCGTGGCTCTCGGCCTCCATTTGCCAGTTTGTGTTCGATGAGCTCAACCGGAGCTTCGTTTGTTTGTTTATTTGTTTGTTTTCTTCCTCCACGCCGACGGACAGGACGCTGCTGTGAACGCGACCGTCGCGAGGTGTTTATCCGAGTTTTAAAGGTGAGGCTTCCGTGAAACGTGCAACTTTTTTTTTTTTCCAACTTGCAGTGTGAGTGGAGCGGGCGGCCTTAGTGTGAGGAAGAAAGAGCTGCTGATTTTATGGGTGACTTCTTCTTCTTCTTCTTCTTCTTCTTCTTTAAAACAGTTGGTCGGGTCAAACGTTGGAGGTAAATCTAGTAAATGACCATTTAGATGCTCGCGCTGGTTTTAATAACACCTTCATCCTGCAGCGGGGTGAATGTGTGATAATACCGGGGAGTGTTGGGGGGGCAGGATAACAACACAGGTCACCTTTCTGCCTCCTTCGGAGCCGTTCTTTAAAGACGACTGAGCAGGTAATGTGATTATTTTGCTAACAGCAGAAAGGCTCGTGTCCCCCCGCCGCCGATTGGTCAGACAAAAAAGTTGTTTATAACAGCCCGCTTCAAAGTCCATCGTTTTCAGCCGGAGTACCAGAGCTACAGTTAAAAGTAGCTACGCACAGTTATTAAAAAATTTATTTAATTGTGCATTATTGGTTCCGTTTGGCTAGGTGGTTGTGGAGGATTTATCACACAGGAGAGCGTAGCCATTTTCTTCTAACACGTATTTTTTTCTTTTGCTTAAAAAATTAGATTTCAAACAATTCATCAACCTTGATAGTTAGCTCTAAAATAAAACTGTACGTGTAAGAATGTTATGAAATACTTGTTTAATAATAATAATAAAAACAGAGGTCATATTTGGCTTGGTAAAACATTGGTGATTCTCACCTTCGTAGTTTTCTGCGCGCATGGCATTGTGGGTAGGGGTCAGAGACTACGGAGCCCGCGAGTGGACATGGGAGATTTTTTTCTTTTGCGTTCCCACGCAATAGTATTGCGTTACCTCGCAATAGTATTGCGTTACCTCGCAATACCTTTTGCGTTCCCTCGCAATACCTTTTGCGTTCCCTCGCAATACCTTTTGCGTTCCCTCGCAAAAGTAGTTTATCACTGTTGTGCCTGCCGGTTTATTAGCAAACTCACATGTTCACCATTAGCGAGTTAGCGTACTGCTTTAATTCAGCTTCAGAGTGAATATATCACACAGCCACACATGGAAGTATGTCATATGCCGATATTTTAACACAGTACAGCCACGCAACATCAATGRCTGTGTCCAAAACGGCAGGCCGGGTCCTCCGAAGGTCGAATTCGTCGGCCGCGTACGTCACAGCGCCGCGACGAAGGACGTCCAAATCTGAAGACTCCTCCGATGCGGCCGACAAATATGTCCTTCCTTTGGCCCGAATCGAAGGACAGGTCTGATGGGTCCTTCCCGGCCCAGCGTATCCCATAATGCATTGCGGCCCGACCGGAGATTTGTTTATGCTAGTAATGGCGGACGAAGCGAGAGAAAAGAATACATTTAAAATAAAAATGTGATATAAAAATTAAAAAAATTAGCGGTTGTAATTCTAATACTTTTATCA